TTCCCCCCCCCCCCCCGCTCTCTCACATCCTCTCGCTGTGCTCTCTATTTATCTTTGACACAAAAAGGTATGTGCGACTGCACTTCTTCGACGAGGACTACCTGAACATGCAGGACGAGGTGCCCGACGAGCTCGAGGAAGGCAGCAAAGCCGCAGCAGGGGGATTCGAAGAAAGCTAAAACAATCACATGCCCAGGGTAGCACAGCCTATATATCGAGATCGAATAACGGCGAGGGGTTGCGCGGACGAGGAGAATGTCGACGTAGTACCTTTCCTGTTGGATACAGCATAGTCGCTGAATCCGGGAGGTTTTGTATGGTGGAAGAGATCATTGGCGGGAGCGGGGGGGGGGGAGGGGGAGTGTGCACTGGAAGAAGGGGCGGTCGGGTAGCCTCAAGGAGACCATATCCTCGATGCAGTGCATGACACCCCCGCATCGGCCTTCCTCTTCGCATAGAGTGGGGTAGAGGGAAATGGGGGGCACGGTGGCTGGGAACCAGAGAAGGAGTAGGGTGACCCCTCGCCTTGGTGAGCAGGAATGCCCTTTGTGGGAGTGAAAAGCTTGGAGTGCCACGTGCTGTTCAGAAGATACTCGATGACTGTACCCTAGACGGGAGGTTCGAGACGCATGCCCTTTATCCCAAGAGAAGGTGTATTCCGAGCCACGCGTAACAGTGCGTCCTCCGTGGTATCCCCCCTTGTTTCGACAACTGCAGTATAACTGTAATCACGAGACCCCGGCGGCGAGGTAGAATCCTTCGACCACCTAGCGCCAACATCTTGCACGAGAAGGGTTTACGGTTCGTGGATGCTAGTGTTGTTGCTGCAACCGTTTGTTTTGCGGCGAAACCGTGGGTAGTTGCGTCTGGAGGGTAAATGAGAATATGTCGGGATGTGTTTCCCCTCTTCTCTCTCTCTTGCTTGTCCGTTTCTCCTTGGATACGCACCAACCAGCCCTTGCCTGTGACATTTCGCAAGGGCGCTTGCAACGAACCCATGCTTCACGAGCTTCCCAACGGAACACGAGGGCGACATGCGCGTGTCTTCAGTCAGCCAACCAGGAGCTTCCGCAGACGTAAGCCGCCGGTTTATGTTTGGTTTAACGACCTTCTTTAGAACAGGTGGAACAAACACTACGCACCTCGCTTTCGCCCCAAATCCACCACTCACACAACTACTTTAACCTGGAAAAAGTGACTGCCTACGTTTGTCTAGCCTTATCCGGATCGTCCGCGGTTGCAAAGCTCGACCGCTGATTCATACCCCCTCATATCAAGCGGAAACAAGGCCAGACTGATGCTTGAAGTCACACGCGTGCGGGAATCTCGTCGTAACGTAGATGCGTGCACTACCAGCTTACATCTAAACATCTACCACAGCACTGTGACCAACCACCCCAATGGATTCCATCAAATGATGAACCCATGGTGCAAACTTAGTGCAAGACAAAAATACAGCACGCCGTATTTACACAGCACCGCACTCACGGTCTCCCGTCGACCCGGTGAAACTTGAGGCGTAATAGCGGTGTTTATGCTATGGTCTTCAACAGACAGTAGCGGCGGCGGGGGCACACAGCACATACGTCACGAGTGGCGCGAACGAAGAGACGTGTGCTTGCACAGATACGCTGGCTCCCTAGCAAACGTCATCGATCCTATCCTACTCCCCCGGGATGCCCAATCAACCCCTGGTATTATCTGGTTTGGCGCGGCAAACGGAAGGGTGACACGCAGCTTCTGGGTCATCCTTGTGAAACGCAGCTCGGGCCGGCGAAAATCCGGCCTATCGCTCCGTGAGGGCATGCGTTTACGCGAGTACCCCCCCACCGCATCATCCTCCATCCTGCTGGCCCTCCTTCCGCCGATGCGTCGAATTTACATACCACACATGTAGTGCCCCGCAGGATTTCGAAATTCCACTGACTACTACAAAACACATTTTTCATCATCTGCGGACGAGCACGGAAAGACCCTTCCACGGATGAGAAACAAGTGGCGCCTTTGATGACAGCCTAACCCGTTTGTTTCAAAAACTGGTGGTTCTCCTGGGGGACATTTGCAAAGAGCCGTTGTGCAACAACAAGCCCATCTCCCGGAGAACCGTATGGAGCACGTGCTGGCCACAGATAACAGGGCGGCAACCCGAGCACTCTTGAGAGAGTTTTGCCCCTCTCGGTCTTTGAGACTGATCTGTCCCTGTCGACCCTTGAGAGCCCTCGACTCTCTCAACCTTGGTTGCCCCTGTCTATACCAAGCACATACATGTGAGACAACTACAGTCCCAAAGGGGCCAACATAGAAGGGGGGAAATAAAAGTCCCACCCCGCTCTGCACCCCGACGTACCCAATCGAAGGATGGAAAACAAGGCGCCGCTGCCGACACCAAAACACAATTGAACTGCTTCCAAATTACACCAAGATATCAATATCTGCTTATTCATTGACGAGTACCCTTCCCCCCAATGACTCGTCGAGTGGGTCGACTCCTCCCGTAGAGAGGGTGGTAGCGCGTCTGCTGCTGCCCACCACCCTGCCGCCGCCGACCCCGCCTTCAACGCCACCACCGGTGGAAAAGAGGACGCTGCTGCTGCTGCCGTTGGAGAAGGGGATGCCGAGGGAAGCGCAACAGTCGCCGACGGCGGACCACATTCGGCAGGCGTCGCAGCCGTCACCGGAGGAGGAGACGGCGGGAGGTGCCCGCGCGTTGTTGCCGCTCTTTTTGTCGTCATCCAGGTGTTTCTTCCGATTATGGCGGCAGCGCTTGACGTGCAAGAGGGCCGTGCTGAGGACGCGGAGCGTGGACTCGCAGAGCCGGCACGGGTGCTGGTGATCGCGACCGTCGCTGCTGCATGAGTCGCGGGCGTCGCCACTCTCTCGGGAGAGGCGTGCTTGTTGTTGCCCCGCCGGGGGGGCGGGGCGTACTCGCGTGGCGGCCCCCTTGGCACATTTCCGGCGCTTGTTCATGAGATGCTCGATGCCCAGGCATACCGAGGCTACCTGGTGCGGCGGCGGAAAGCGAGCGAAGAAAACGGATGGTGAGGCCAAAACAGCGTTTGAGAGAGCAAAAGTGGTGCCAGAACAAAGCAACGAGCGCCCAATCTTTAAGGTCAGCACCAGCAACTAGGGATGCAAATGCATAAACGGTCTGGAGACAGCGTGTCTACCGCCTGATACATCACGCGACCGTCTGCAAGCCCGGAGTGAACGGGGATCGAGGTGGGGAGCAACCACAAGCCAGAGAGAGGACACCGTTTGGTGCCGTCGTACGCGAGGGGCGGTTGGCGCGTCGGTGGCAGCCCCACTTGGTTGAGGGACCAGGAGGGGTGTCACATCTACAATCCCCTAGACAAATCCACGCGGCGTTGAAAACGCACGACGCCCGTCAGTCAAGAGCGACCAAGAAGTGTTCTTTTGCTGACTAGCATCACTTCTTTCCTCAGCGTAAGGACTAAAAACAGACTTAATCAGGGGCCCAGTTCCCAGTAGGTGTCCCTCAACCCTCGCTGCTGTAAAGACTTCAACACGTCCTTAGGCGCGAGCTGTTATCTGAAACGGTAACCCGTTTCGCTTGTAACGACGTGCATCTTTTGCTTGGGAGTGTATTGCGTTACGTATTGTTAAGAACTGCCACGACAAGCGCAGGCAAAGCCCGCCGTTTGGTTGAAGCAACGAGGTGATGATAGAGCTTGAGCGATTCAGTCATGGCGGTCACGGATTGAGCGCTCTATTCACAGTACAGAGACGGGCTGCACGGCTGGACCAGTCGCCATAACTCTCTCGCACGAGGCCAGGAAAGCGTTTGGACAGAGTGGGCGGGGGTAGGACACACCTTTTCTGCTTGGCTGTCGTTTTCTCTACTGTATGACGACGCGAACGCGAAGCGGCATAATTACCAACGGAGCTGTTCTCGACGCACCGCAGAGAACCGAGGGACAGTGTTCGGTTAAGTTCTCTGGGTTGGGATCAGGGCCGGCCATTAAAAAGGCCCCTCATGCGTGCTATATTCAAGAGGGGAGGCATAACACCCATGCATAGACTGGAGAGTGCAGCACTCGTTGTACGCACTTGGTTGATTGAGCAGATGACACGTGCAGAGTGCAGACTGATCTTCATAGGAAACACCTTTCCGTACGTTGCGGACATTCGTCTATGCGAAGAGAACACAGCTCCCCACGTTATAGACCCCAAGTGTGCACCCAGAAAATCTACCCTAGACAGCGGCACCGGCCTCGGCCGGTAACATCTTGGCATGCCTACGAGATATGCAGGCAAACCGGGTGTACACCCACAGCAGTGCACGATGTTTACATTCTATCTCTTGACTCCTGACATTTTTTGACAACAGAAATAAGGCCGAGGTTCGCTCTCGGTCGGTTTACCGACGAGGGTGGAGACTTCAAACGCCAACCTACCTGGAGCTCTTGAATCTCCTGCAGCCTACGCTTAGCATCATTCCGGCGCACTCTAGCTTCAGGGATCAGCCATTCTCCTGAGCACATGGTAGTCGACGGAAGTGTGCTCTCGAGGAGCCATCGGACCGAGGTCCGATGGCAGGGAGCAGTTCCGCCGCATTTCCACGTTCTCTAAAATCAAGATATTGCTGTGGGTGCCCAGAGCCAGTCAGAACGGTCCGAGAACCGGCCCGAATGGGTGTCGGCGTGTCGCCTCGTCGCCTCCTCCCTGTCTCTCGACCCCCCCCCGCTGCCCCCCTGCGTCACATTACCCTAAACAAGGTGACCATGGCATCCTTCTGATTAAGCTGAGGTGAGACGGGATCTGGTAGCCTCGCTTCTCACCCCCCGACCTATCCCCATGGCCCCTCGCCTCGGACCTTGTCGCGGCCCGAGCTAGCCCTTGTCGGGCGGTCGCTTCCCTCCCTCTTCGGCGCATGCTGTCGTTACCAGACGTTCTCCGAAGTTGTATGCTATCACGACACATTGCACGTGCCTCATGAAAGGTGTGGCATGTTATCCAAGGGGGGAGCGTGACATGTTCTACGCTAGACTGCATAAATGTGTCCCATTTGAAATGGCATCGACCGCCGGCGCTGTGTGTGTGTGTATGTGTCTTCACTTTCTCTCGCTCGTGTCTGGTATGTGATTAATAGATTTAGATTCGTCTCTCGCTTATATTGCTTCGCCCTTCACCCTCGCCACAGCAGTTGGTGGTACACAGCGTTTGCTTTTTGTCCCGGTTTGCTTCGCACACAGGCTTGGCGCACGAAAGTCACGACAATCCCACCTTTTTTCGTGAACCTGTTGTCTTTGTATCCATATTCCATTTCACAGCCTGGGGTTATAGACAAAGACTTCGGGGTAATGGTGACGACGGTAACAGCTCTGCTTTGCTCTCGTTCCCGAAAGTGTACTCGAGACCCGCCTGTGTCGCCTGAACTCCCACACATATCTTACGAATATCTCAACGCCGCCTACGTTTACGTTTGGGGGCTAAGACTGTGCGCAGAAACACTGGGCTAGACTGTGCCCATGGACTGCCACGACGAAAAACAAAATTATGTCGTCGACTTTCTGCTGTCTTGTGGATGTGTGGTGGCTTCCCACGGATTCGAGCTTCTACAGCTACGGTAGTTACAGCAGTACCCTGACCCGTTTCGCCCACCTATCACACACACGTCTATCTCGCCAATGTTCCGTTGTTACACACGAGTTATGTATCTGCAGCGCGTGGACTAATTACATGCTGCTTGTGGCTCCTCTGTTGTTTGTTCGCCATTTCTGGCAAGGATGATGATTATTCCCGTAGTGTTCCGTGCAGATTCCCGTGACGATGGCTCTGAAATACGGGCCTTGCGAGTCTCGCGTCCCTATCTCCCGTCCAAATTACGCTGCAAATAATGGCGTTGTTTTCATCGTTTTCAAACGCGGCAACTATTATGCCGGCTAGATTTCCACTCTCGCGCACTCCTTGCTGACTGCTGTTTTTGATTCCCGGCACAACACACACCCTTTTGTCCGGTTTCAGGAACGCACTGTGGAGTACAACGCGAAATCTCTAGCGAATACAGTCAGCGCCCGCAATGTAGAAAGATTTTTAAAAGAAATCGGGGCTCACTTTTCCACGAAGAATGAGTGTTGAGGAACATAGCTCAGTCTGAGTCACACGATAAGAAATGCCTCAATAAGAAACAGCAGCGACCGCTGCCCTACTACTTTAGACACGAGGGGTTACGGGGGAGTGTGTCGAATAAGAAACACCCCACAGCTCCTCCCATCTCTCGCACTTTCCACACTCTCCCACTACACGCACCCCCTAGAGTTCCTTGTTGGTTGTACGACGAGGGGGAGTGTGTTAGTTCTGCGGCGCCCCCTCCGCCCCCCTGCCGGCTCTGGCGTTCCGGCTCTGGCACAGGCCACCAGACAGGCTGCGAACCACGATATGCTGTCTGCTGCACGATTTTGATGGTGCTCTACGCCAGCTCTCGTGAGGAAATTCATTTGTTCATTTTGAACGTTCGTTGTGTAATGTAGCGATCAGGGAAGATTATAAGAAATTGCCGATTTAAGGAATTCAGTAGGATTTGGCGGCACGAAAGTCCAGGAAACTTGGACATGAGAAATTGAAAGACATACGCTGAGTTTATTACCGACAATGAGGATTCGAAGCTGGACCTGAAACAAGCGTTCCTGGATTGCGGGCGCTTACTGTAGTACATGTCTTCCAAGATGTCGTCTATCACTACTGCTGTGCTGTCGCTCCATCAGCATGCTAACCAGCCTCCCTCTCTCTCCCACTTTTTTCGTCCTCCCCTTGCCCCAGACTTGTACCAGAAACCCGACTTCAAAACAATGCTCAGCGCTACTAAAACTCAAGCCACCAACATGTCAAGGATCTCCATCATTCCATCCCGTCAGTCCGCGCACAAGCTGGGACGCCAGAAGCGACAACAACGAGGCCGTAAGAAGAAACGATAGCCAACGAGCCGAGCTGCAAGCAAGCACGTACAACCGCCACGACGGTCAACACGTCCATAACAGCGGCGACCACGGCCGAGAGACATCGTAGGAGGAAACACCCGATTCCTCTCCTCGTCGTCGGAATCCATCCAGGGCAAGGGTGCAAAGAAAAAAAAAAAAAGTAACGATTGTCGCTGGCCGTGTAATCAGTCCTTGATCAGTTTTTTTTTTTTTCCTTCAGTTAAAGAGTCTTCGCCGTCATGCACGACGACGAGACCATCGGCATGCACGCCCCGTTCTGGGCATTCTCGGGAGCGCACCGTCCCGTCGAGGAGAGCACAGTGAACGGCGGCAGCGGCCGCAAGACTAATAGCGCCGGCGGCAGCATTAAAAACAGCAGCGAGGCCGGCGCCGCCGGTGGTGGCGGGTCCGCCGCTGCCGCCGCGCCGGGCAAGAGCAGCAGCATCAACAACAGCAGCGGCAGGGACGTTGTTGTCGGCGGACACGACGGAGATATTGCGGACAACGTCGACGGCTTCCTCGACGAGTTCATGGTTCTCGCCGGTGGTAATGACGACGGCAACGACTACGGCATGATGTCGGAGGAGGGTGGGGGAGGGGGCCCGGCCATCTCGGAGGAAGACCTGGTGTTTCTGGCCGACATGGACCTAGCCGACTTCCTGCCGCCGGCAATAACGGCGGAGGAGGGCGACGCGCTGCTGTCTCCTTCCTCCGTCCACGAAATGGAGACCCTGCCGAGTCAGGGCGGACGAGTGGCATCTCCGGTGATGACGGCTGCGGCGGAGGCGACTTTGGGCCCGGCGGCAGCGGCGGCGGGGGGAGGTGGCGTGATCGCTTCGCCGGCGGCGGCGACAGCCGTGGCACCGGGGGTCGAGACGGATGGAAGAGGGGCGGCACGGACGACGGGGAACTCTAACAATCAGCATGCTAATGCTGCTGCTGTCACCGACTGCGGCGGTGGCGGCGGCGGCAGCGATGCCGCCGCGGCCATCAGCCCTAAGGAGCAGGTTCGGCGGCAGAAGGTCGCTCGGTACCTGGCCAAGAAGCAGCGGCGCTGCTGGTCCAAGCCCGCGGCCTCGTCGTACCAGAGCCGGCAGCGCGTCGCCAACTCGCGGCCGCGGCACAAGGGCCGCTTCCTGCCTCTTGAGTCCGAGTTCGTGCCCATCGCGGAGCTGCAGCGGCGGCAGCGGGCGCTCATGGTGCAGATGCGAGAGAAGGCGGCGGCATCGGCGGCAACAGCGGCGGCGACAGCGGCGGCATCAGCAGCACCAGCATCAGCAGCACCAGCATCAGCAGCACCAGCATCAGCAGCACTAGGGACCGCTGACGTGGGGGCATTCGGGGCGGGCGTCCCCCTTTTCCGAGTTTAGTCACCCTAAACCATTTATTTTATTACGAGACTTGCTCGGGGATGCTGGGGCACTGCTCTGTCACTGTTGTATTTTTATTGATTGTCAGCGCGTGAGGACATGGTTTGAGGATTAATTTTGGAGTATGGTTTTGAGCATGATTTTGGCGAGGCAGAGATGCCACGACTGTATGAAGAGGTCGTTCACGACTCGTGGCTCGATTCACGTGTGGGGCACGAGTGCAGTTTTAGGATGTGGCTCGTCATAGTTTTGTGGCCTAGAGAGCAGTGTCGTGGCTGGAATCCTTCAAAATGGGAGCACGTAAAAATAGCAGTGTCGGACGATGCTGTTGGATTTGTATCGCAGCGTCGTAACTATCGTTGCTGTCGTAAGTCGTGGTGCCATTTGGTAGGGTAGAGGCCGAAATTGACGCCGACGAAGGGAAGAAGGCGAAGGGAATCCCGCAATATCCTGTTTTGGGTATTTGAACGCAAGTAGTAGACGGACGAAGGCGGCATGTACGCGGTCGAATTTTTTGTTCTTTGTTGTGGTCGGCATATCAACTTTTTAGAACATTAACTTGGTGCCGTAGTCGAGATTTTTGATGGTGGTCTGGTGTTACTTCGTTGCATGGTTGACTTGTGTCGCCTGGCACGTTCGAAAACGTTCGGTGTCTGCTGCGTGCATCCGCAACTATGGTTAATTTTTATCGGCTTTCAATCTGGAGTGTGGTCAACCATCTGCGCGTGTGCTGGCAGAACGGGTGGAGGTTACGGGCTATATGCTACCGGGGTTATTTTTTATTCTTGTTTTGTCTTTCCGGCGGGTGTAGTAGCGAGAGAGTTCCGACGTTGTGGAAGAGAGTTGAGAAAGCGACCAATTTCATGCAAATCAAAAAAAGAAACACACACGCTGTGAACGATGAACGCTCTCTTGCCGTTGAGGGCAGAACGAGCGGTTAAAATCGATCCGGTCGCGGCTCCGATATAATGGGGTCCTTTTTAAGAGGGTCGAAATCGGTTGTCACGACGTCCGAGTATAGTGGAGTACTCTTAATCCGGTACAAGAGGGGACTTCGATACATGTGGGTGTCGAGCCGTTGTCGTCCCCGACCCTCTTTTGTTTCGGGGCAACTGTAAAACCCTGACCCTAGGTGTTCGTTCCGTGTCATGCTCAACCGGATCGGGCTCACGCTAGTTTCGTGCGCATGCGTGCCCGATGCATCAACGAGCCCAACGGCGGGCTTGGTTGAGGCACACTCGTGTAGCCAAAGCGTTGGCCGTGTCAGCTAGTAGGAATCAACCTTCTAGTCCGATAGCGCACAGGCCTGGTCCTATTCTTCGCTGGCGAAACAAACCACCCTCCTCTACAAGCCGACACGATGAAGCGTACAAGTAAAAAGAGTGCGTCGCAGAACAATGGCATCGAAGCATCCCTTTCGAAGTCTTGAACCCACGTCCACACCCCTCGCTGCGGCTGCCGCCGCCGCTGTTACCAGGGTGTCGACCAAACAAGGCAGACGCCATCAAACATTGCCCTTCAACAAACCTTCGAGAAAAGACTCGAAAAAAGACTTGACACCTTTGAAACTTCTCCAAGCTGGTACACCTCTTCGTACTCCTCTCTCAAGTCCTCCCCGCTCCTACTCTCTGCGATGTTCTCCTCGTGGGGCTCTCCTTCTCTCTGTGAGGCTCTCCTTCTCTGTAAGTTGCGTCAACACCAATGTAACTTCGACAAAGCCATCCAACAACCGCTCCCACTAACCTACCGCCCGCAACTTCGCGCAGGACACCCAAAAAACTGGCGACCCTCAAACCTCGCGCAGGCACAACGCCTGCCTGTACATCGTGAAAGCCCCCTTGGGGCCCCCCCCCCCCCCCCCCCCCGGAAGCAAGGCTTCCTCGAAATCGTCCATCACGCGGGGGTACCACCTGCGCTGCTTCCCACCCCTTTCACATCAAACATGGATGGATGTGGTCGTCCTGTCCAGAAACAAAAGCCCGGGCTGTGACCGCAACACTGGAAACCCCCCCTAGCATGCCCGTAATACAATAACTCAAAACATGTTAATTCACAGCGAGCGGTCTGTGGCTTCTCCTCCCCTCCCCTCTCACGCCCGGCGGCCAACGTTTAATGACCCCACCATGGATTTTCTCTTTTTGGTAGACCGAGAACGCGAACGACCATGTGCACCCTTGCCCCACCCCCCCCGGCCCCCCACGCGGGCGCGCCAGGAGTAACATCAACGCTAGACGAAGGAATTATCCCCGTGGTCTGGGACACCCGCGACAGCAGTAGTCGGACTGCTACGAGCACCACCGTCGCTACCCCCCCCGCCTGACGACCGCCTCCCCCAAAACACGGAGCCCCCCCCCTCGGGTTCGGATTTGGGGGGGGAGGGTGATTCGCCCTCGCCCCCTTCCCCGGGGAAAAACGATTCTTCGTAGAACTCCTCGTCGACCTCGGTGCCGACGCTATCGTCGCCGTTGCCGTGGCGTTCGCCGTAGTCGCCTGCTTCTTCTTCAATGATCTGTCGTTCACGTTGCGCCGAAGAAGATAGCGTGTGGTACATGGGGGGGGGGGGGGGGGGG